GTGGTGTCTGAGACTTCCAGAAGAGAAGGTGAAGGAACAATGCTTGCTTAATTTCTAATCTTTTGGCAAATGTTTTGACTAGATTTAACTATTTAACCATTTAACCTGCAGTCTTAACGCAACGCTCAGGAAGAGTGCAGCAGATGTCACAGTTGGCCAACCGAATGAAATGTCTACTCTTCATTTCGCAAATCCACAAAAAAGCTCAAAGAATCACGTACATAGTAAAACGCTCAGGTGGGATCCACATGACCGCTCTTAGAACTACAGGAGGGATCAAACTCCACTCATTCATTTTTATCTTATAGAATAAGCGCCAAGCCGCCAGATAAACTAAACTGACCAATAACCTTTAGGCTTTGGTGTGCCCACCCCCACAGACTCACACAGATGTGTGCTATGTGTGGCAGTATGCCCTGTGGCCTTTGAACACAAGTGCCTGAATTTAATTGGTTGTGGGGCTGGCTGCCTGTATATAAAGGGCCCTCCCTCATCTGGTTGACATGACGTTGTTTTCCTTCCGGTTCAGACCTCGGCGTTTGTTGGTGCTGCACGCTAGGTAAGGCAGGCTTCACCTCTCTCAAGCAAGCTTATTACTTATGATTTATTTACATTTTCTGTATAACAGCTGCAAATTAATGAGCTTAACAACGCTCTGATCGCCGCCGATCAATCGTCCTTCTGGTAAGAATCTTCCCACACCTGACATTTGTTAGCTTAGCTTTAGCTCAGCTTTTGTTGTATATCCAGACCGCCTGTACAAGCTCCACGTTTCCTCCTTCCTGTTAGAGGCACTACATAAAGAGCTCAGTGGTAAGTGAAGTGCTGGAGTTTGGATGCTTTTAGATTCCATTTCTAACATTTATTTTTGATAGCCGCTGCTGTTTGTCCTTGGCTGGCTGTTTGTCCTTGGCCGGCTGTTTGCCCGCTGTTCTGGTTGTCCCCGACTGGCGGTCCACCTGTCAACTGGATAATCTGTCGACTGCCTACCTGTCGTCCTGTTTGCTGGCTTCATGCCCGCCGTCCTGGTCGGCGTAAAGCTGGCTCCTACCACTCGTCCAGTGTGGCTGATTTGGGCTGATTGGTGATCAGCTCGGACTATCTTTCTACTGCCGCTCTGGAGTATGCTACAGCGGATCTATTTCT